GTGGCTTGAGGAATTGGAGAGAGATGAAGATTTTTCGCAGGTACTAAACGCGTTGAGGAAAGATGACCTGAGTAGGACAGTGAGAATGCGTGGCACGAATAACTGGATACGAGTAGCAGATTTTGTTATGGAAAACGGAAATCTTAAAATGTATACTGAAGAAGGTACATTAGTATGTGTGGTTCCGAAAAGCGCAAGATACGAGGTTTTTCATGAAGCCCATGCGGGTGCAGTGGCAGGCCACTTCAGCGCATTCAAGTTGCTAAAGAAAATGCGCAAGGAAGTGTTCTGGCCAACCATGATACAGGACGTAAGTAGATGGACAAAGGAGTGTCAACGCTGCTTCGTCCATAACCCGAGACCAGGTAGGAATTCCGCCATTGAAGCCGATAGTGACCACGAAGCCGTACGAGTTGATAGGCGTAGATGTGCTAGAACTAGGACTAACCTCAAGTGGAAATAAATACGCGGTCACAGTAATTGACCATTTCTCAAAATTCGCACAGGCATACCCAACAGCTGACAAATCAGCCGAAACGGTAGCGAGTGTAATTTTTGAGCGTTGGATAGTTGATGGCTGCAGATGGCCCAAAGCAATACTATCCGATAAAGGAGGCGAGTTTGAAAACAGGGTGATGTCAGAGTTGATGAAAATTACCAAAATTCAGCATGTGATGACGAAAGGCTATAATCCACGCGAGAATGGTATTACTGAAAGATTGAATGGGACTATAGTCGCAATGTTGAGGAGGTCGACAACGGTACCAACAGAGTGGGACAAGAGGCTACCCTTCTGTATGCTCGCATACAATATGACCCCTCATAGATCCACAGGAGAGAGCCCATATTTTTTATTGCATGGGATGGACCCTTACTTCCCATCAGGAACTATACCGAATAATGAGATATCATGGTACGCTCTAGATAAAGCGATGGACGATTACAAAGTGGGTTTGATACAATGCATAACAGAGACTCATGAAAGAGTTCGAGAGTATAATGATCGCGTGAGAGAAAGCATGAAAACCGCGTATGACAAAAGGAACAAAGTAGACCAAGAGAGACTCCCAAAGTTAGGGGATAGAGTGTATTTACTATCACCCAGAGAGAAAGCGTTGAGTTCCCACCCCAAGTTGACAAGCGAGTGGGCTGGTCCCTTTCGTGTGATTGAAGCGGGAGATAACTCAGCAGTTATTACCCGAATAGGAGAAAATTCAGAGCCTATTAAAGTTCAGTACGATATGCTAAGAATAGTGCCGAAGCAAATATCTGATGAAAGGGTTGACACAACTACTAATAGAGGAAAAAGAGGCAGAAAGCCAAAAGTGAAGGTGAACAAATTAAACTGTTCTAATTTCAGAGGAGCGGTGATCGAGTCAAGTGAATGCAAAGGACATTTGCAATATAAGTGCAAGGACGGATGCCTGGAAGAAGCTTGTTTCGGAGACCTGAAGGACATCGTATTTCCAGGAGCGTTTGCGAAGGAACCGCTAGGCTCACTTTGGAGGGCATGGATCGCCGCTAGCATTTTCATCAGAAGCGACATGAACACGGCCGAGAAAATAAGGGCGTGGAAGAAAGGAATGGTCTGTCTTGATGCTGAAGCCCTGAAGAGAGTTCTGAGGCTTGCATATGACCGTTGTATGGACTGGACCGAATTTCTATATGTGACAGATGGAATATCGAAACATGACAGAATTGAGGATTACTGCTTCGACAGGACCTATGATGAAGCTTTGAAAAGTTTGAAACGCGATCTGGAGGAGCAAGAGAAAAATCAGCGTGCCAAAAAGGACGGACCGACAGCGTTCACGGCGCCAGAGAATGCGCTATTGCTGGAACGGGACGGCTCGCGTCGTGGAATTATTACAAGAGTGGCCACATCATTTGAAAAATTGAAGGACGTTCTTGATGAACTGAAAACATGCTCAACGTGGATAATCGTTTGGCCGATAGATACACACTTCACGGATGCGCAGATATGCGAAACGCTCCGTAGATGTCAACAGCAGCTCGAAGAAGGAGGACGCATAGTGTCCGTATGGCCTCCTTTGATGGAGTCAAATCAAACTACGTGGAGACAGCTCACAGAAGTGTGGCAGATGATTGATAATGCTCTACAGGGGAAAGCAGGACCCCACCAATTGTTGACCACAGCCAGCCACAGAATGGATAGTGGAAAAATTTTTATTGAGGCCGGTGCACCAGAGGGGTGCTTGAATTTCTATGGGAAAAATCTAGGCGTAGGAAGCGCCAAATC